GCATCGTGAAAACAAGATATTCTTATGCTGTTCCGAACAGCATCAGAAGGTTTTCATACCCTCCATGGGCAAGGGATTAAATAGTGTCATTTAACCACCCCGGTGTGTCAGCTAAGGACGTGTTAGTTTTAGAGGCTATTGATTAAAAAAACGTTAGTAATCGCCATCTTGAAAGAAAATACGCGTAATGTATAATAATGCTTACATGTATCGCTACTTCACTACCCATATATACATTTTAAGGGAATGACACCGCATATTACAGAAACGAGATTGAAGCACGAAGTATTATTAAACATGATTGGATCTGCTTGCCAATGTTCACGTAGCTTACGTTCGCATTTTTCCTCAGTTTTTAAGCGTAAATATATTTAGAGGGCTCGGATAGACCTATTATAAATGCTGCGCTTACTCAGCACACTAGCACAGGACGTTTCGGCACGATACATGTGGTGCTTAAACGACTACATGCAATTAAAGTGACAATCAAAATACTTCAGAATGTGTTCGGTCAAATGGCTATAACGTCTACAACTATAATCAATCGTTTGGTGTTGGTAAATCTGTCCTCGATTGTTACACATCGTTTCCCTGTAGAGTACATGTTTTTTCGTGCGGTATGGTGTGCGTAAGAAGTCCAGCGTGATCGCAAGTAAATAGCAACATCGGGAATACACTAGAGTCATATTTTCTGAATTATTCACATCATTAGGAGAATATGAAATCCTACTACATGTACTAAGTATGTAGGATCGCTGAAAACAGCTAACTAATCCATATCGAGCCAATATATTTTTTAATACAATCATAAATCATTGAGGTTTATACGTTATCGTCGATGTGATAGCAGCGAGGCATATATCTTCCCAAACCGGAAAACGTTTTCTGTCCTGAAACTGTCCTAAACATCCTAAATGTTGGTTTGATGTTACTAGCGGTAGCAAGCCCCACGGCATTTCCGTAGGCTGGCCCTGTACCCACCCTCCTTGGCAAGCCGCGCATTCCTCAGGTCAGGCTAGACAATCGTTTTTTTTTAAGTTCAGGACAGAATATTTGAAAATGAGGTTTACGACAATGTTTCAAGTGTTATTTGCTGCGTTAGCTAAATTAAAAGCTTAATCACATCAAGGTAAAATCTTGAGCAAAAACCGGAGCGCTTTCCTTGTGAAGCGGGCCAATTATCTCGTCCGGCCGTGGGGTGGTTCGTATGGCCACAGTACTGCGCTACGGTCGCTCGTTTCCTTCGGCCAGCTGCTTGAGGAAAGGTAAACTCGTCCAATGGCCGACAGGAATCCACTTGATCCCTGCGCCAAAACGCCCACTGTCGTGTCCGCTCCTACTTTCTGTTAGTCGTGTTACGGCTACTCGCTGCACTGCACCAACCTCGTACTCGTCTTGCTCTACTTTCGTAAAGACTTCTCGTCTGCTTAACTTACGCTAAAACTTCCTCGTTTGCTCAGCTTACGCTAAGACTTCTCGTTGCCACTCGTGTCCCCAGCACCAGCTAGCTCTTGACCTGCTACACCGACTCTGCCGCTCCAACACAGACCCGGAATCGCTCACTTAGCCACTTAGGAGTACGCCTCAGGCGCCTTCCTTTCCGTTGCAGCCGTTAGCAATATTGGGGACCCACCTGGTCTCCTGCTCCGTCACCTCGTTTGGTCTCTGTCTTCACCGCCCGCGATGCCGCACCAAGCGCTCTCCACTGATACCTCGTCCACTCGTCGCCCTCGTAGGTCCTCCGGCACTAAACGCCGTCGTCCCCCTTCCCCGTCAGCCTTTGTCGCCCATCGACTCAGCTCCTTCGTAGGCCTCGTACTCAAGGTTCACGTACGACTCGTACGCTTCCGTCTCCTCGCTCACGTCCGTCTCCTCGTTCACCGTCCGGGTACTCCGCCGCTGACCTTTACTCGTCTACGACCTTCGTCGCAAACGCGATACCGTCTGCGCTCTTCGTCGCAAAATCCAAACTGACTGCTTCTTTCGGCATCCGTTGCCAGCCGCACTCGTCGTTGACGGCGACCGTCTGGCAGAACTTCAACCAGCCACGACCCAGCTCAGCGCCAGCCGGGCACTCGTATCCGCTCGTCCGGCCGTACTCGTCCGTCATGCCCCTCGAGTCCGACGTGACCGAGTGACACTCTTTCTGCCGATCACCGCCTGACTCTTCCGTCATGTGGCACACATCGTCGCATGATCCGCTACACTTGGTTCATATCAACATGAACACCGTTCACGCTAGTTAGTCATACCCTGACTAATTGTGGTGTACTGATCGAAGCCCTATTTACTGAGATTTCAGCTGTCCATTGTGTAAAAACTGCTGGTCTAATTTTTAAATCGAGCATACTGGATCTCGGTCAATACAGAGCGGTAATTCAAATAAAGATATTATCCGCCGAGCAAAGCGCGAATAAGCTTTGCAATAAAGTGTTATTATCTATTTTTTTAGTTTCCATTCGGAGTTTCGAATTTGCTCAAAATTTACAAAAGTGAAACCTTACCCGCGAGGCGCTCGTACATGTACTACGGCTCGGCTTAATCAGGGGTAAAGAGCCCGCTTCGCTTAGCTTGTGATCTAATAACGCAGAGATAGCAGATTTTGTTTCAATATAGCTTGGATACGAAAGTACGCCTTACAATTCACCTATTTGAGCGGCATGAAAGCGTACCTCAAGATTTTTATTTTAACCTCTTTTCAGTCAACGTCGGTAATACCTTTTTAACCTAAACTTGAAGTTTAGGACATATTAGCAACAACAAAAATGGTTTTGCATCGGAGCTTGTGATTAGTCGAAAATATCGTTCTCGAAAGCACAAATTTTAATTTCTATCGGTTTTTGATCGTTTCGTTTTTCGCTACTAAATCCTATTACAAAACGGAGCAGTTTCATCGAAAATTGGTATGCTTTAACGCTAGATGACTGCGGTTCAGAATTTTTCATAGCCCTACCGTAGTAACGCTGACTGCAATTTCTTTCTCTGTGACCGCGCGAGAGCGATCCTCGGTAACTTAAAATTATTTTCGGAAGTGTATCGACCATGCGACGTCGAAACGTATTTGACGTTGTTCCACTCTGTCAGACATTTCTTTCTTCAGACTTTGTTTGTCAAAGTCCTAAGCGCATTTCCACGACGTCGACACATCAAGTAATATTTTCGGAAGTGCATTGACCATGCGACAAAATCTATTAAAAATTGTAACCAAATCCTAGAGACGTGATATCCCCAATTGTAATACCGGTACGCTCCGGCTGAGAGGTGACCGCAGAATTACAAACTGAGGATGAACCGACCTCTTCCCTATTATCTGTGATATCGGGCAGCGTAGAAAGCGAGACTGAAGACTGAAGACCAAGTGTGCAGATTCAGGTAAAACAGATAATGATGCATTGGACCGAAAGCTTATCGGACTAACATGAATAATCATATACAGACGGTCTATCTACAGGGAGTGCAGAGAGAGATCGTCAAATGGGTGGGAACCATGTGTGCCTCGAACCAATCGCTGTTCTGGGCGTGTGCTTCTGCTCCATTGTTCGTCCTCTAGCGTGACTCTGGCGAATCGTACACAAGTACGCGGGGCAGCGGCCACTCAGATATTACATTATCAGTGATTACAGGCATTCCTGTTTGTCGATACATGTATACCGTTGGGAATTAATTATTTATTACTATCCGAGAGAATCACTATCCAGAGCTGTTATTTAGTGTTACCGAAGTGTTGATTCGTCGGTTCTGTAAACGCCGGCTCAAGAATGATAACAGTGACACCTCTACATACGCACTGCCAAGCAGCAGGAAACACCTGGTTCGTGGACTTCTTGTACCTTTTAATGGATACATCGTCTAATAGTGATTCCTCTATATCCCAACGCCATCATAAATATGCGGATAATAGCCCCATTCCAACTGATCTTACGGCAAACAAAGCACAATATTCTCGATATTCAAACTTGATCACAAAACGCGAACAAAACGTCAAACTCAAACTCTCACTTTTATCCGAAACGGGTTTCTAACGAATCACTCAGATGAAAGTTAGTTAGCTTACTGACTATTTTGTCAAGATCGTTTAACAGAAAGTACATTAACAGGAAATATGACCCGTTGATTTGACAAATCACAAAAGCGCTGAGAATTCCCTATGCAAATTAATCAGACACCCCCAACGTATTTGTTTTTTTTTTGCAGAGATTACTGCAGTGGTCGATCACATTGTGCAAACGTAAATACTAAAGCAGTAGAGTTCATACTTAAGTGCAATACGATGGTAGCGCGTATGAGTGCAAATTAGATTCTGCTTGGACGAGATGTGTGATGAAGTGTCTGCTTTCGCGCCGTGCTCGAAATGTGAAGTGGTATATGCAACGTTATTGGGCCGCTGATGTTGAGTGGATCGTACCTTAAGCGAGAGTTCGGGGTACGTACCAACAGACCACTCGTCTACCTACAGGCACTTACCGTAAAACCTTAGTTATGGGATACTCGTTGTTAAGAAATACATCATCTAATTAATCAGAAGCAACGAGTATGCCTTCACTTTTATAGCATCCCTAAGCTAAGCTTGGTAATCGTATGTGTCGCCCTCTTATAAAGATCCATTTCACATTTCTTCACTGCAGATCAGGTGTATCCCTTAAAATAAGGATTTACGGTAGGGTCACCTTTTACAAAAGGAGTATTCTCTGGATTTTATATCCAAAGTCCATACAGCGATTGGAGCTAGGTGGGAGCTCTTAAACAATTATACCTTGCGGAAAGTGATCTTTCCAAACGGATAATTGGAATGAATTACGCAAATCTACTAAATAACCTTGTATTTATTGATAATATCAATGAATGCTGACCCATCCGTGGATAATGATGGCAAAACACCTCGATTTCATCTTAACTTTATGTTTACCAGCAGAATTGAATATATGTTCTCTGAACACCTCTAGCATTCAGTATATCCGATCTACTTTTACTTTCAGTTGACATGACTACAATCCATGAAATCCGATATAAAGGGGTATATGAAGTACAAGCTACACTTATTCAGGGGGACTCTGTACTGTCCGTTTATCCGCTGTTTTTGCATGCTACTCTCTTACCAACGGAGCTGTTTCACCAATTAACACTCCCAGGGTCATGCTCAAAGCTGCTAGGCCGCATAGACAAAAAGGCTGTTGCGGATGGATACGGCAACTTCGTTCAGTGATGGGTGCCAGCTAGCCTGCAAGATCTTCTTGGAGAAATCCAACGCGTCCGGGTCACCTGGAGTGGGCATCGCGGCAATCTGCTGAGCAATACCTCGCTGTGGCATGGAGTGGCGGCGACTCACTCGTGCGGTACGTGGCGTGATAGAGATGTCGGCGCGCCCATAGCGGTCATAAATATGGAACTCGCTATTGTACGAGCCTGTAATGAAGTTGTTGCCGTCTCCGCTGACCGCGCACTCGAATTTATCGAAGATGCAATCGCTTTCGTACAGATCTCCCAACCGCGGGCGCAGGTGCTCGTGGATCTTTTATCAAAAAGCAATGGGGACACGTCAACACAGTGCACTAGTCTGTCTTTTGAGGGTGAGAACATCGACCAGAACTCTATCTGCACTTACATTGATCGTTTGAACTGGGCGTGAGTTCATGTTGATGTCCCAGACTTTAAGCGTGAGGAAGTCGCGTGCAATGATGTAGCGACCGTCCGGAGAGAATTTGATATCTGAGATAGACGCAATGATCTCAGAGAAGAAGCTGCGAGCTTCAGGATCTTCTTGCTCTTCAAACACTGCAATGTCACCCCCTTACGTAAGCACGTATCTCACGATCTCGCAAAGTTAGCATGACAAACTCTTCGAACCTTGTGAGTACGCGTCACACAGAGCTGATTGCCGCATATCACCCATCTTGATGGCGCCACGACTGGTGCTATACATCATCGTATTGCAGTGTGTTGGGTGGAAATCTGCAGCTGTTATGACCTCGGTTAGCTCTTCCATGTTCGCAGGCTTAATGTCAACGATATCTGACCCAGAACATTCGCTTGTTAGCCATTTTTCAGCCACCAGTTATTACCTAAAAATACTCACTGAAACTTTGATTAGAGACACCAAGACTCCACAGGTTGACGCGTAGGTCGTCAGCCGAAATGAACGTCTCTCCGTCGCTGTTTATCGCAATCGAGTTGATGTGGTACGTGTGTGCGTTTGCGTACACCCGCTTGGCTGAGCTTGTTGTAACCTGGCCCCGATTGCGTATTTGCGGCAGGCGAATAAGTTCCGGAGTTATCTGTCCTCGTGGTATGTGTGCAAGACCCTGTTCATTGTACGTCGTGACCTCATGAACGCTACGCTCGTGTATCTTCCAGAGTTTGATGGTCTTGTCGTTTGTCGACAGCAGGCAGCGGGACCCGCCAGCCGGACGGCACCATTTAATTTGGTTTATCTTCTCTTCGATCTCGAGACTTTTAAGGTAGTCAAACTCGGCGTTGTGGCTTTGGAACTCAGTGTACAATTGGTACTGTGGGTCGCCGCTTGTTCCGCCGTACATGGATTGATTCTGTTATACGTCAAATACCTTTAGAAAAACAGGGCAAAAACAATACACAGCATGGCAAAAAAAACAACCGATGCTGGATTTCCGTGACGGCAGTATATGGAGATGCGTCCGCCTTTGTTTCCCGTAGCTAGAAAGTCTCCTGAGCGGTCATACTCAATTGCAGAAACCACCTCGGCTGCAGAATTATTGTCCAAGCATTACAATTAACACACAACCCACTGCTTCATTATCATCCCACACTACCTACCTTCCACAAAACTGCGTGTGCTCTCTCCTGCTGAAAAGACTTGCCCCCACTCGGCGTCGGCTTCTCGTGAAGGTTCCGCCATGTCAACTTCCAGTCCGTCCGTCGCGCTCTGCTTGAGTCTCGTCAGCGCACCCACGCGGGCCTCTTCGATCTCCCCTCGTAAATTAGCTTGCGTCATACAGAAAGCGCTCGCAATCGAATCAATTCTCTCGACTCGTTTGTCTTCTGGGCACTGAGGGCCTAACAGAGGTCGCGGTCGTTGGCTCCCTGAAAGTTGTGACCTGTGACTGGGGGGGGGGTCTTCTATTCTCGCTGTGGAGGATCTTGAGGTGAGCTCTCAAACTTTAAGTGAAAGGGCCGCTAGCTGGGAGGGGTTTCGTTTCTCACACGGACAGAAAGGCAGGCGCGCGACCGCTTATTAAATAGCTAATGGAGGCGAATTTGGACGCCCGTGACGAGATTAAAGAGATGAAGTTTAAAACTGCAAATTTCAGTTAGCGCCACTGGCACTAGATGCTGCGCACAGACGCACTTGCAATTTGCAGAGACGGTTGGATACAGATTGCCACTCGATCAGCGGCGAGCGTGACCGAGTTCATGTACGAGGTGAAAAGCACTGCGATCTTAAAGAAAACCTTTTTGTTCCACGGATTGCTTCAGCCTATCATCGCGAGTGAAGCCATTTCAGTCAAGTCTTTTTCACCAATCACCAAACGATACCTTTATTTCGAAGCAGAAAAACTGGACAAGTGTACCAAAACACGGTGAGGACTTGATCCGTTTTTTTAGGCACCCATTTTATTGGGGGAGGCGGGCAGAATTGAGTTTTTGCTGATATTTTCCGGCCACCGGTACTATTTCTTTTCTGGACAGCAACATTTACAACATGTAGGTATTTATTTTGTCGCGGTCTCCTTCTCTTGCCGGGGTCGTGTATCTTGTGAAAGCCGACGTAGGAACTTAGACGTAATAGATGAGTAAAATATACTTGTTTTCTTATTTGTTTTTCTTGAGCACTTCTCGTAAAAGAAAGAAATTCACGACTGAGAGCTCTCTTACCAGCCCTCTAACTTACCAAAGTACCTCCTACCAGCACCAGTACCTCTAGTTGTCGTTCGTAAACGGTGTCAGCGTACCACTGTCTGGACTCCTTCGTTCCATTTTAGACTAGGGACGAGGTAGTCGGCGACGGGGAACGAGACTGATCGGGCCTGACACTCTTCCTTCGCCGCTCGCTAAATTGCCGTAGACAGTCGTCCAGAATAGCGAGTCCTTCCTCTAGCCGAAGACCGTGACATTTATCCCCGACTGCCGCTCGAAATTCTCGCCGAGCCTCATTCCTTCCAGCAGGTCCGATCGCAGAGTCGACAGACAGATCTGGAACGATCGACGTCGCTCCAATCGGAGTCGAATTCGAATTTTACTGTGCCACCGAAGCTGTACCAATAGGACCTGCACGCAAATGGTCGAGGCTAGCTCTCTCTCTCCCTCCTGTCCCGTAGCTCCTTTCGACTTTCGAGCTTAGCCCAACCTTTTTGTGCGGCCTCAATTCCCGAGCCGTCGACTACCTTCGCTCGCGACGCCCAGTAGTACCTCGTAGCATGGCTATAACAGCCCAGTACCAAGACGAACGCGTTTCCAACGAGACTCGCGGTAGAGAATTCCAGTATCACGTTCACCACTAGGGTAGCTAAAGCGACACCCATCCAACCACATAGGGCACCTTCCACGCCTTCATAAACTACTCTCGGCAGGTAAAACACGAGTGACAATAACAGCTGTCCCACTAGACATACGTCATCAACCAGGTACTCGCCCACTCGATCGATTGAGGCAACTGTAGCCTCCGCTATCGCCTTAGTATACCGACAACATGATGTCCACACAAGTTAAATCACATCTGGAACGAAGACACAACCGAGTGGTGCCACGCCTCACACCATCTAAGACACAACAGTCCAAAAATGCCGAAGCGGGGATCATACTTTCGTAATACAGCCATGGGAACGAGGAACATCAGCGTGACCAAAGTGCACGCATATTCCCTAGGGTGCAGCTCTTGAGCGTTGGCTCCACGGACGGTAGTGACAAATTGGTCACTACAAGTATACCAGAAGAAACAGACGGTAGAGCCACAGTCCACAAGGCTCGCACTGAAAGCCCATCCCACATTGCGTAAGGGAGTCGTGACCACCCACACTACAATCCCAGCTACGGCGCAGACCACCATAGCTTCTGTTTCGATCTCAGGGAACGTCACGACCGGTGTCGCCGCCTCCACTCCATCAAACCAACTCTTCAGCACTTCCATCATTTCAGACTGGCACTGAGTCAGTTAGGAAAGGCATTCCAGGCGTCGTCCGTTGGCACCCCTTCCCAAGTGGCGTCAGTGTCGCCCAAGTCGTTTCCTTTCATCTCGTTCCATTTTTGCACCCTGTCGCGATTTCCAACGTCCGTCAGCCACCATCCGAGCCAATGCGACGAATCCTTCAATTTCTAACAATCTCCACGTAGAACACCTCCCAGTTACAACTTCTCAGCTGTCAGCATGTCCAAGCGCCTCACCGTCGCGCTGGCGATTCAAGAAATTCTTTGACGCGGCACTGGAGTACGACGAACATGGAACGCCACGGGACGACGCTACGACCATCAAGCGGGAGTTCTGGGTCGCTTTGAAGTCGCACCTGGGCGGCAACGGCCTCTCCACTGGTCTGGATCACATGGAGCAGTTAGTCGACGATCTCCTGGAAGGTCGGCCCTCCATCGCACTGCGCGGTCCCGTGGTCGCGACGCCGTCCCAGTCAGGAATCTCGCCCGAGTCGTCTGCACCTGCTAATCCTTCCACCACCTCCTCCACCTCGACGGCGAAGAAGCCTGTTCGCGGTAAGCGGAAAACTCGCAGCGGGCCCCCTCCAATCAAGACGTCCAAGAAACTGCGGAGCAGCGACAATCCTGACAAGCCGACGTCTTCTCATGTCCTTCTGCTGAGTACAAGGCGTTGGTCGACTTGAACCTCGACGCTCCTGACTCCGTAAGGGCTGCCGTTTACTTCATCTTGGCAAAGGCGGAGGCGGTCGGAAATAAGCCTTGGTGCATCGCGTACCCTTGGACAGGGCGTCCGCAATGGTACAACCCGCTTCGTTTCGGCGCGATCTATCGAGGTCTTTGGCGTTTCTGGATGTCTCACCGTCGGGCGTTCTGGGAATGGGCCCTTTACGACCTCTGGCATCGGAGACGGCACAGAATAATCGTCGTAAGGCCAAGATGCGTGCCGTACAGGCTCGTTTAGCCTTCATCAGCTTGTGCATTGAAACCTGGGGTTTCTACGGATTCCTCACGCTCCTCGACAAGTGTCCGCTGATGTTCTGGATGGGAGGCCAGCCGGGTCGCGATAACAAGAAGTGTCTGCAGTACGACGGACCTCTCGCGGACACGCTGACTTCGCTCGAAGACAAGGATCCGGAACGATACCAGGCTACGATCGACAACGCTCTGGAGCCCGTGCAGATTGACGCGTATGGGTATTCGAGTATCCGCGTCCTGCTAGAGACGACCGAGGCACTGATCCCTACGGCCGAGCCGGCCAATCCACTCTCCATGGTGGCTTTGGCGCGCATTCGGCTTGATCTTCAGTCTTCGGCGACGCCTCGTGACACGTGGGTGGGTCCACTAGTGACGAGCCTTGGAAGACCCTTATCGACAACGCTCTGGTGAAGCAAACCCAGCTGACAGTTGCAACCGAGTTGGAGAGCGGCTCGTATCAGCTCCCCGAAGTCAGGAAGCCGACTAAGACGGAACGCAGACGCGCCGAATTGTCGGATCTCGAAGAGGAAGATGAAGATGAGACCAAAGCTGCCGTTCCAACGGCTACGGTCGTGACCTCAGCTACTGCCGACTCTCCGAGTGCCGAAGATGATGCTGACGACGGAGAGGACGACGACGAAGAAGCCGGGAACGACGACGACGACGAGTACAAACCGGAGGACGACGAAGAAGATGATGAGGAGAATAAGGCTGAGGACGACGACGGGGAAGACGATGAGAAGGTCATTCCCAAGAAGGTTTCGGCCGACAAGGGGAAGGCCACCAAGAAGAAGCCTCCTATTCGGGGTCGTTTTTAGTCCTCGTTCCTTTTCTTGCTTCTTCGTCTCGAATACATTCGTTTAATCTTCGCTTTACAAGTCCTTATCGTTCCTCGAAGTCCAGCCAGTCGTTTTCGTCTCTTGTGTCAACGTTTCCTCGTTCCAACTTTGTCAATTCTGGGCATAACCGCCCCGCCAAAGGGTCTTGAGCTCCGTTGATGCCCCATGTCACATTCCTAGTGTCCATTTCCGTAGCGTTCCAGTATGTACATTCAAAATGCAGTTCAGTGTCTTGAGACTCACTCGTTCCCAAACAACAATATGAGTGAAGCGGTCCCGCTCCACTCGTTCCAACCAGTCAGAGGACCAGTTAGAACAACACTTCCGCGTCGTCTACATCAGCGTTGGCCTCGACCAACCTCACGCTCCAACGTATCTCCGGCAGACCCTTCTTTTTGCGGTCTTCTTCTTCAAGGACGCTTATCAAGGTTCCAAACGCGGGGACAAAGCAGTTCGAGGTAACCAAAAGGTCTCGTATGTTGCCGTCAGTACTAGGTACTGCAGCTCGCCCTTATCCACTCTCTTAGCAACGATGTCCAAGATGGGCGACGAAACACCGGTGAAAGCTGTCTCCTCACCCCCGATAGACACTCGTTCCACAAAACTCGACTGAGGCAGATCTTCTTCTTGTAGTGGTCCAGCCTCTAATTGCAAAACGTTCTCGGCTACATCCTCGGTTGTCGCGTGATTACCTGTCTCGTTCCCGGCTGTCACATTCTCGCTGGTTGCACACTTACTGGCTACGTTCTCGGCTGTCCCTCTAGGCACTTCGTCCGCAAATGGTCGACTCCAGCGACCACAGAAGCGTTTCAACCGATTCACGTTCACAGCGACGATCCTGTCGGGGTGTTTAGGGATAGCGATCTTGTAGGCATTCTCCCCGACTTGGCCGACATTACGGTACGGTCCGTGCCAAGAGAACGCCAGCTTCTTCGTCTTATTTTCGCCAACTTTTGCCCTGAAAAACTGATAGACCCAGACGGGATCGCCTACCTCATACGCGACCTTGACTTGTTTATTCAATCGCTGCTCGGGACGATCTTGGGCCTTTAATAACCGTCGTTCCACCAGGCACCTTGAGTCACGTAACGACAGATACAGCTTCCTTCGGTTCGTGGCAAGCTCGTTGCTTTTCCAGTCCTCTCCGGTGTTGAGGAAGGCCAAGTCGATCGGCAGTATTGGGTCACGACCGTACAAACTGACAAAGGGAGTGTCTCCAAGACCCTCATGGTAGGCAGTCCGGTAAGCCAATAAGACTCGAGACAAATAGATATCCCAATCGGTCTAAGTTTCACTCACGAACATCTTGAGCATTCCCAACAACGTTCCATTGAATCGTTCTACCAAACCCTGAGTTTGGGATGGTAGGCGGCTCCAAATAACTTCTTTATCCCTAGCGTCTAGTATAATG